TATTACGCTTGTGAGTAGATACATTTTTTTTTTTGGTTGTGTGAGGCCCTTTTCAAAGTAGGTGTTATAAAAAAATAAAAACAATTCTTGTTAACAAGTGTCTTTATAACATTACTTACCCAAAAAAATGTTAATAACATTAGTTAAGAAAATTTAGAAGAAGACTGCTATATATTCCGTTATTTTGTCACCATTATATCACTAGATATATGGCATGATAGTATCGTTTTTATTAATTTCTTAATAATTATATCTTTAAATAAGAAAATCAATAATAAATGTCCATATAAGTGGTGATACAATCTAGTGAAAAAAATCCAATAATATAAAATCTTTCTCAATTTAAAATAATTATAAATTTTTTATGACAAATACTTGTTAAGAAAATAGAAAACCATTTCAAAAGAGTTAATAAATAAATTTAGACCACTCTTTAATAAAATTATCTTATAACTTTTCAATGGGGCCTTAAGAAATTTTGGGAAAATGGGGTTTTTTATCAAGTAGGGGCCTAAAGCGCAAGTTTCACTCGCTTCGGCTTTAAGCTGGCCCTGACTTTAACACAAGAATAAAATTATGGACAAGTAATTTTTTATTGCCTATTGCCAATGAGAGTAGGGCCCTAAGTAAATGCAACGAAAAGACTCGAAAATAACTAATAATGTATGGGTGTTGATTTTCGACCACACAATTAAAAGGGCAACTCAGCTAAAGAGTACGGGCAGAATATATTAAGTCCAACAGCCTGTAACAGGAAGATAAGAATACTAAGCCCAACAACCTGTAATAAGAAGATGAGAATATACCACAATGGTTCGTCCACCCGGAGGTACTCCGACAATCAAGTCAGTAATCAATATCTTTAACAAATAATAAATTGTGCTTAAACTTATAAGAAAACGCTTACCTTAGACCCACGAAGGTGTCTTGCTTTTATAACCAGCAGTGACCCGATTCCTTTAGAATCCTCACTTTAATGGACTCAGGCTCAATACTCATCCTGGACCCTCATCTAGATAAAGATAAACTCTCTTTGAGCTTTATCTTTATCTAAACTGCGATCCTCTCCCGTTCTAAGACTCTTGCACCTTATTCACATATCTCGGATTTCGATATCCGAAGATAACCTCAGCCTATCCGAGATCATCTCGACAGCGTGACCAAGCCACGTTGCAACTCGACTGACATTTCAACGTCACCTTAGCGACGTATTCTCATTCACAAAATACTCTCCCCACATAATTAAACAATTAATATATTGACAGTAAAACAAAAAAATGTCTTAAACAACAAACGTCACCGCCTGGAGCATTCACACTTGAAACAAAGACTTATAGGGCATCCTATAATGACTTCCACGAAAAAAAATAATATTTGTAGTATTTGTAACGTGCAAACAAAGACTTATGGGACTATCAATAATTCAATATCAAAATCATCATACTATGTTGGTTGGTTACTTCTTGGAAAGAGTCCTATAGTTGCCATCAAAGAAATAAACAAAAGCAATTTGCCTAATAATTGTTTTCAAATATTATAATAAAATAAATAAATAAATAAAAACAAATTTTATTGTAATAAGCATTTACTCTTGCATTGCCATAGATCACTAAACCTCGGTTGACTTGGAGCATTACGAATTCTCAGTTTTAAAACTCAGTTCACCTCACCATTTCCTCTTAATTATCCCTTCAAACACAAAGCCTACTGCTGCAAACAAGACTTTTCCGGGGGACTTATGCCCTCCACACTTGAAGCAAATCTCTCTTCAAATCTTAAAAATATGCAAGGGATTGCCGCTTGCAATTGTAGCGATAAGTGGCGTTTTGGCTACAAAGGACAAGAGCAGAATAAATGAATGAGAAATGCTTTATCGCAATGTTTGTGCTGAATTAGCGGGCAATGATAAATAAGAGAGTATGAAAAAAGCAATATCTCTCAATTACAATGATTTGCCTTATTATCAAAAGATTTGACATGAAATAATAAAATTTTGGAATATGAAAGATGATCTAGCTTTGTAGTATGAAATGAGACCTAATTTATTAATATGATGGAGTTTTGTAATATGAAATGTCATGTAGTTTTGGAATATAAAATAGGACCTAATTTATTAATATGATAAATACTATGAGAAAAAATTGTAAATGAAATTTGTTTGTATAACATTTTTTACCTTTATTATTTTATTTAGCATTTTCTCCATCCTAAATATTTGTCCATATATTATTGGCCTATTTAGTGCAGCTTATCATAATTTGAAAATTGATAATCAAAAAGTAAAAGTTAAAAATAGGTATTTTTTTTAGCTTTAGATAATGATTTTTTTTTTAAACATATTTAAGTTGCTCTTATCTAATAAGTATTATATAAAATAGTTTGATATAAACCCTTAAAAAACTTATTTAACATTTTTCTAATAATAGTAATTAGCGCCATAACGTGGTGGTCTGTGATAGTGAAAAATTTATGAATAATATGATATATTATGAATAATAATTTACAAATTATAAGAATTCTAAAATGTAAGTTAAGGAATAAATAAATAAAAATAAATAAATATTAAATATAATATTTTAGTATTTCGGCACGAAAATTTTATGACCAAAGCCTTGGCCCAAAACTGATATATTTTTCACATGATTATTGATGATGACTAAGGGATCAAGGTACAATTGGGAGGGATGTGTGCCAAGATGGGAGCCAACTGTGAACTCTCTTTTTATGATTCAAACGGTGTAGAGTTTGTAACGAAGATGATTTATGAAGAAAAAAAAATCAAATTAATCACATTATATTTAACTTAAAACAATATATAATTTATTTTTAAAATAATATATTATTTTTCATTTTTTAAATTAACAGCAATGATAGAGACTCCTTTTTTGGAAGACCCCCACAACCCCCTTTGTGATTCACATCATTCATGATGTGGACCCCACACATACATGAGTGAGCCCCACACATCATGAATAATGTAGATCAATAAAAAAATTGTGTGGTCTTCCATAAAGGGGGTATGACTCATTTTTTTTAAACTAATTAGTCAATGACGCTTATTTTGTTTCTCTCTCCTTTCTACTTTCATCCTACTTTCCCCATCCCTATCCCACCTTTATATATTCACTTTTTCAGTGGGTAGGATAGGCATGGCATGGTCCAGCTTTTTTACTCATGTTGTATTTGGTTGGGAGATTTACGAAGGGATTTGGAAAGGAAAAGGAAAAAGGTGTGTGAAATTATGTGAAATATAGGCATGATTTATTCACATTTCACCTACCTTTTCCATTTTCCTTTCCAAATCCCCCAATCAAACACAGCATTAGCGTCTAGACCGGCTTAAAATAGTCCCTCCTGAATCACAAATCAAGAGAAAAAGTCACTTAAAAAAAAATATAAAAATTTAGAGTTGGATTTTCCTCAGGATTAAAAGGAGTTGTTAAGATTTTGGTTATTTGAATAGTTTATTTTAAAAATTCTTTATATATATTATTTCTAAAAAATATTAAATAAATCCAACTTTATTATTTTATTTAGCATTTTCTCCATCCTAAATATTTGTCCATATATTATTGGCCTATTTAGTGCAGCTTATTAAATTTATTAGTCTATATAATATTGCTTTTAAGACTTACATGAATCCCTTCAAAAGAAGAGAGAATAGAAATTAAAAATATTCTTTCCCAACTTTTTAATAATTAGATCTTTTAATTTATTTAAATTGTTTTAATTTTATAAATTATTCACTGACACAAATTATCAAAATTTAACATTAAAAAAAATATATAAATAACACTCATAAAGTGCACCACACAAGACCAAGGAAACCACTTAAAGCACAAACATCCCCTCATGGAGCATTCTCACTCCGGACAAAGACTTGGCATCTTGCAGTGACAGAAAATTCTAATATACACTATTTTAAAAAAAATTACTATGCATTTTATATATTCTTAATTAAGTTTTTTTTTTTAAACTATGACTAATTTTTTTGTTTAGTTATGTTACGATTTTCGTTATAATTTATAAATTTTTTAATTATATATCATTTTTTTATTTAGTTATGATATTTTTTAATTATAATTTAAAAAATTAAAGTTATATTATCTATCCTTTTAATTATAAATGCATATAATGCACATTGAAGGGTGTTCATTTCCCAGCAGTGACTTTCACGAAAAACAACAAAAGGTTACACGCAATCAAAGACTTTAACATTATCAATTTATCACAACAGAATACTCGTTACTTCCTAGAAAGAGTGCGGAAGTTGTCATCTCTGTTTTCACAAAAATAAAATAAAATAAAATAAAAAATGCCATCTCTGTTTTCACTCGAACCTCAGTTGAGTTTTTGAGCATTACAAATTCCCGGCTTTGAAACTCAATTCAGAAAACCATTTCCTCCTAATTATCCCCTCAAACACAAAGCCTAATACTTCTAACAAACACACACAAAACAGAAAATGGCTGAAACTGCAGTGTTCCATCTTCTAGCCAGCTTTGCACCCTTCCTTCAGGGAGAGGTGAATTTGTTGAGTGGAGTTCGGGAAGCAATGGCAGACATCAGAGATGAATTCCAGCGCATGTCGGCTTTCCTCAGAGTTCCTAGAAAGAGTGCTGAGGTTGCTATCCTACTTTCATCCTACTTTTCTCACCACTATCCCACCTTTATTTATTCACTTTTTGAGTGGATAGGCATGCAATGGGTACAGCACTTTTTACTTACGCGCCTATTTCAAGTTTGTTTCGATGAAATTTCAGATTATTTAGACCGATTTAAAATAGTCCCTCGTAAATCACAAAACAAGAGGAAAATTGTCTCTTTTTTTTTATTTTTATAAATTTTTTAGAGTTGGATTTTCCTCAGTATTAAAGGGAGTTGTTTAGGTCCCGTAAACTTCATCACCACTTTCGTTTCGATAATTTAAATAATTTATTTTAAAAATCCATCATATAGATCATTTTTAAAAAACATTAGGTGAATTCAATAATCATATTTGTCACTAAAAATTATTAAATTTATTAGTATGTACAAAATTGCTTTTAAGACTTACATGAATCCCATTAGAAAAAGAAGGAATGGAAATTAAAATATTGTTTCTCAACTATCCAATAATTAGTTCTTTTAATTTATTTAAGTTATTTTAATTTTATAAATTATATACCGACACAAATTATCAAAATTTAACACCAATTTTTTTATAATAAATGACACTCATAAATTACACACCAAACAAGACCAAGGAACCACTTAAACCACAAACATCACCTCGTCCAACATTCACACTCCAAAAAAAAGAAATAAGCACCCTGCAGTGACTTCCACCAAAAACTTTAGGACTGTCAATATTATCACAACAGAACAGTGGTTACTTCCTAGAAAGAGTGCTGAAGTTGCCATCTAAGTTTCTAATAGAAACAAAAAAAAAAAAACAGATTTCACAGCTACCATAAATTTGAGTTTTTGAGCATTACAAATTCCCGGTTTTGAAACTCAATTCAGATCACCATTTTCTCCTAATTATCCCCTCAAACACAAAAGCCTACTACTTCTAACAAACACACACAAAACAGAAAATGGCTGAAACTGCGGTGTTCCATCTTCTAGCCAAACTTGCACCCTTCCTTCAGGGAGAGGTTAATTTGTTGAGTGGAGTTCGGGAAGCAATGGAAGACATCAGAGATGAATTCGAGCGCATGTCGGCTTTCCTTAGAGTTGCTGATGCTAAGGAAGAAAGTGACCCTCAACTCAAAGTTTGGGTCAAACAAGTTCGAGATGCTGCTTATGACACTGAAGATGTTCTTGACAAATTCAAGCCTCACCTTGCACATCATCACGGCGATGGATTCGGTGGTTTTCTTCGTAAGGTTTTCTACCTTGCCAAGACTTTAAAAGCTCGCCACCAAATTGCTTCTGAAATTCAAAGAATCAAGTCCAGGGTCATCAATATTTCCGACGGACATAAAAGATACCATGATAAATATGGTATACCAGAGCAAGGCTCAAGGTCGAATGTTGTTAACAATTCATGGTATGATTATCGTGGCGATGCACTTCTACTCAAAGAAGCAAAGCTAGTGGGCATCGAAATGCCCAAAAGACAATTGATGGAGTGGCTAGTCGAGGGAGATTCTGGGTTGAAAGCGGTTTCTGTGGTGGGAATGGGGGGATTAGGCAAAACCACCTTGGTTAAAAAAGTCTACGATGATGCAACGGCGAAGAAACATTTTGACTGCCACGCTTGGCTCACTGTTTCCGAGTCATTAAGGGCTGAGGATCTCCTGAAGGACATGATTCAACAACTCTTTGAAGAAATCATGCAACCAGTCCCTATTGGAGTTGAAACTATGAGCATCAATAGGCTAAAATGTCTGGCTAATGATTTTCTGCAGCAAAGGAGGTACGTGGTTGTTTTTGATGATGTTTGGAATGTCAATGCTTGGGAGGCTATCAAATATGTGCTGCCTGACAACAATTGTGGTAGCCGTGTCATTCTCACAACTCGTTTCACCCATATAGCTTCTACCTGTTGCGAAGAAACTAATGGTCATGTTTATGACTTGATGCCGTTGTCCCAAGAGGAGTCTTGGACGCTGTTTTGCAACAAGACTTTTCGGGGGAACTTATGCCCTCCAAACTTGAAACAAATTTCTCTTCGAATCTTAAAAAGATGCGAGGGATTGCCGCTTGCAATTGTAGCTATAAGTGGCGTTTTGGCTACAAAGGACAGGAGCAGAATAGAAGAATGGGAAATGCTTTATCGCAGCCTTGGTGCTGAATTAGAGGGCAATGACAAACTAGAGAGTATGAAAAAAGCGCTCTCTCTTAGTTACAATGATCTACCTCATTATCTGAAGATTTGTTTCTTGTACGTGAGCATTTTCCGGGAGGATCAACGGATATTGTGCAAAGCAGTAATTCCACGTTGGACAGCAGAAGGATTTGTGAATGCTATTGAGGGGAAGACAATAGAAGAAGTTGCAAATGGCTACCTCGATGAGCTATTCAATAGGAGCTTGATTCAAGTGGCACAGAGATATCCAGATGGAAGGCCTTTATGTTTCTGTATTCACGACCTGATGCGTAAAATTATTGTTTCAAAGGCAAGAGAGCAAAACATTGTAACAACAATTTGCAGACAGGGCTCAACGAGGCCGGAGAAGGTCCGCCGCCTATTGATCCGAAGCACCTCAGATAATGTGGAATATAGCGAGCGTTTTTCTCTACTTCGTTCTCTGTTTGTGTGGGGGCCAATGGATTCATTGCCTATTGCATCCTTGCGTGAGTTGTTTAGACGTAGTTCGAGGCTGCTAAATGTGTTAGATTTTGGAGGTACTCCATTAGATACTATACCAGATGAAGTTTTTAAACTGATCCATCTCAGGTACCTTGGCTTGAGGAATACAAATGTAAATAAAAACAAACAATTATGCAGCGGATAAAATAATCATATCATACCTTTCGATGATAGAACCTCGTGGATAAATCACGTGCTTCCAGAGTCTGATAAATCAATCCCAGCAGTGGGGTGATATTACAATGGTGAATATCACCCACACAAACCACAGTGCAATTGACTTGATCGTTGTATCTTGGGAGAGAGTCAGTTTATGGGTAGAAAACAAAACCTACGTTGTTTTCTCTCTTGGTTACCCATAATCATATATCAGATATATATTATATTTATCTCATTTATCCATTGGTTAAATGAGATAATATCTGATATCTATATCATCTATCCATATCATGATATGATAGATATATATCCTGAGTGGCTCATCCAAATAGGTTTGAATTCAAATTCAAAACCCATTTGGATGAGGTTCAAAAGGTTCTAAGGGTCATGCCACATGGGCGCCCAATTTCTAACAACAAAAGTGAAGATGGTCCCAAAGTTGATTGGGAAGCTTGAGAAATTGGAGACCTTAGATCTAGGAGGAACCTATGTGACTGAGTTGCCTGATGAAATCCTACACCTTCAGAAATTGCGCAATCTCCTATCATATTATTTGAAATCAAGAATCACTTATTTTGAATTTGGAGATATGCGTGGCTTTAAAGCTCCATCTCAGATAGGAAGCTTGCAATCACTACAAGTGCTGTCGATGATAGAGGTAGACCAAAGAAGTGAATGTGGGGTCAGTATGGTGAAAGAGCTGGGGAGGCTAACCCAACTAAGGGAGTTACACATTGGGAATTTAAGAAGAGAAGATGGGGTGACTCTGTGCTCTTCCATTGAGAAGCTCGGCAATCTTTGCAGATTAGAGATAATTTCAACGAAAGAGGATGAGATCCTTGATTTGCAATCTTTGTCTCCAGTTCCTCGATTTCTTCAACTGTTACACTTGATTGGACATTTGGAGAAGTTTCCGCACTGGATACCTTCTCTCCATGGCCTTGTCGATTTAACTTTAGGGTGGAGCAAGTTAAGGGATGATCCTTTGCAATCCCTACAAGAATTACCCAATTTGGCTAAGCTTATACTTGAACAGGCATACGAAGGGGAGGGACTGTGTTTCAAGGCAGGAGGATTTCAGAGGCTTAAACATTTACATCTTTATAAATTAAAAGGATTGAGATGGGTGAGAGTGGAGGAGGGAGCAATGCCCCACCTTGAAGGTCTAAGTATCAGAAATAGTGAATTGATGGAGGAGGTCCCATCAGGCATCCAGCATCTAAAGAACCTCCAAACGTTTGAGCTTTGTGAAATGTCTGAGAAATTGATTTCAAAGTTAGATCGAGAAGTACAAGATGAGGATTACAGAAACATAGCGCACATTCCTGAAGTTATAATTTGGTACCGGGAACATGATCAATGGAAAGTAAGGTTTTTATGAAGAGACAGGAAGAGAAAGGAGAAGAGCTCTCTCTAGATTGGATCAGTGTCATAGTAAATAACCATTTTTTTCTCCCTTTTTGCCATTTTTATTACATATTGTAACCATGATTTATTTTCTTCTTGATGTAGATGATAATTGGCAAGAGTAATTGATTGCACTTTATTTTTACTTATTTAGCTTCTATTTGTTTGCTTAGAGTACTGGTCTTTGTTTTGTACAAGAAGGAAAGCCCGTGTTGAAACTATGCTTCAGAAAAGGTAATTTCTCACTTATCTTCACATAGTTTCTGTTTAAGTTTCATCAAGCTAATAAACTGTTGCCACTGAATTGCCTTTTCTCTTTTTTTTTAAATTTTTATTGTTGAACGTGTAAAAGGTTTACTAACTTGCCTCTCTTACGTTTTTACTCTTATGGTATCAAGGGTTTGGAGAAGTAGTTTCTATCCATGGTGACAAAGCACAACATGCACGTACAAAGGCAATATCACTATTCAAGGAGGGAAGCTGTCCTTTAATGGTATGCGGTTGTTTGAAAGTAATGTCATGAACTCACAATGATGGTTATGCTGAACATTTTGGTTAATGTACTCATATTTGCTTTGTTATTCACATTCCTTTATAATGTGGCTTGGGAGAACCAACACATTTATGCATATTTCCTTCATTATGGTCTTAGTCTCCATGATAAAATAGAAAGCGTATTTTTATCCTTTGATCTTTCTTTACAAACAAAGACGCTCTTTGCTTGTTTCATCTGCAGTAAATTTTGCTCCTTATTCTCCATATGCACAAATTAATGGATGCTACCTCCTCATCCCACTCCTGTGCAAACTTCTCTCTCCCAAGTCCCAACCACAGTTTTTAATTCCATTATAAAATGGGACACCTTTACCATCTCTTTCATTCGTGGTGAGTATTTTTTATTTATTAGTTTTGGACATAAACTAAGTTGATTTGCTTGTGTTGGTTGTTTTGCCTATTTATAGTGAAGTGTTGTGATGTTTCTGGTATGTTGCAATATATGCATCATCTAGCTGGCATTGTTTTAATCTGTGATTTCACGCTTTGTTCCTTAATATATTGATTTCTTTTTGCCATAGTAGTTGATTTTTTATGAGCCTGTTCATTTTGGTTACATTTTATTTCTGCAGATAGCCACTGATGTGGCTGCCCGAGGATTGGATATTCCTGATGTTGAAGTAGTGATAAATTATAGTTTTCCTCTCACAACAGAGGATTATATCCACAGAACAGGCAGGACTGGACGAGCTGGTAAGAAGGGTGTTGCCCACACATTTTTCATGAAGGAAAACAAGGTATAATTTTGTATTATTATAAAATACTACTACTGTTTTTTGATTTCCTGAATGGAACAATGTTAATTCATATTATTTTCTGACAAGCAACAATTGATTTTACTGCAGGGATTAGCTGGGGAGCTGGTTAATGTTATGAGAGAAGCTGGGCGAACCGTTGGCACTCATGTATGGAAAAACGTGTGCTTTCTTTTCTTTTTTTTTATTATTGATTTTATTTTACAGGAGAGGGAGGGAGCAGGAGGGTTCTTATCTTTAGTGTCGTGGTGTTTGGTGTGTAATTCCTCAAGGCAACCTACCTGATACATAATCTGACATGTAGGGTAATTTTTTCTTTGTTGCGTGAACATGCACATGGAGCACATGCAAAATATACATTATAACTTGGCAACCAGAGATAGATAAGATGTTAATGTATAGGATTATATAATCGATGTGTATTTTGTATTTCTCCAAAAAAAAAAAAAAAAACTCACGCTCGAGTTTGCCTTAATGTGTGGGTGTAGGTGTGGGTGTGGGCATGTAGACTAAACATGCCTAGAAATGTCAAATGTGTCTAGTAGTGCTGGGATGGGGAGCCACTTAAATTTTTTCCATTAACCATTCGTATGTCGGCATGCTTTTAACATGAACCCATTCTTGCTTGTGTTTTAGTAATTTGAATTTGTGGAAGAATAGTGTATTGTGCACATTTTTTTTCCTGCAATTGCAGAACCTCCTCAAATTTATACTCTCTGGATGGATATTGGTTCAATGTTGGAATTCATAAGTAAACATATGGAACTCAGTGCTCATGTCAGTGTATCTGCAACCTCCTTATTTTTGTGTACTCTCTGGATGAATGTTGGTTCAATGTTGTTCTTAAATAAACGGAACATTTGTTTCATGAAAGATTACAACTTAATTATGTGTTAGACTTTTTACCAAGTGCTATTCACACATGCATGTTGAAAGAAATATTAAACTTGAATTTTAATGATAATCTTAATTCTTAGGAGAACAAAATGAGGAAGTTTAAGAGCTATACTCTCTGGATGGATATTGGTTCAATGTTGGAATTCATAAGTAAACATATGGAACTCAGTGCTCATGTCAATGTATCTGCAACCTCCTTATTTTTGTATACTCTCTGGATGAATATTGGTTCAATGTTGTTGCTCTTAAATAAACGGAACATTTGTTTCATGAAAGATTACTACTTAATTATGTGTTTGACTTTTTGCCAAGTGCTATCCACACATGCATGTTGAAAGAAATATTAAACTTGAATTTTAATGATAATCTTAATTCTTAAGAGAACAAAATGAGGAAGTTTAAGAGCATGAACTAGTCTCTATTTAGTGCCATGTCTTGTACTGGTGCATAATAGCTACTTTTCTGTACATGTGCGCAGTTTGTGCATGAGTGCAATCCTGTGGCATATGTTCAATGATATGTCTTTATTAATTTTTTATTAAACCTCATGAGAATGTCATGGCATCCTATTGTATACGGGTTATGCATGTTTAGGAGTGCAGATTATACTACCTTACGCCCCATTTGTGTCGGCAAAAATCATTTTCCTGCAGAATTTTTTTTCTTCCAGAAAACGTTTTCTCCTGTGGTTGCAACTTTGAAACTAATGTACTAGTGATTGAATTAATGGTGGTATTAGTGGTGGAGGTGGAGGTGGTGGTGGCGGCAATGGGGTGTTGGTGAGGTGGTTGTGAGTGGCTGAGGTGGTGGTGAGGTGATCATGGCAGTTGTGAGTGGCAAAGTGGCAGCGGCATTGGAAGACTTTAGTTCGGAAAATGTTTTTCTCCTTTCTGAAATTAAAAAATATTTTTTTGTTTAGGAGTGCAGATTATACTACCTTACGCCCCATTTGTGTCGGCAAAAATCATTTTCCTGCAGAATTTTTTTTCTTCCAGAAAACATTTTTTTCTATGTTTGGTTGCAACTTTGAAACTAATGTACTAGTAATTGAATTAATGGTGGTATTAGTGGTGGAGGTGGTGGCAATGGGGTGTTGGTGAGGTGGTTGTGAGTGGCTGAGGTGGTGGTGAGGTGATCATGGCAGTTGTGAGTGGCAAAGGTGGTGGTAAGGTGGCAGCGGCATGGAAGACTTTAGTTCGGAAAATGTTTTTCTCCTTTCTGAAATTAAAAAATATTTTTTCTCCAAATAAACTTGTTTTCAATGAACCACAAAATGTTTTTAATCATACCAAACACTAGAAAAAGCAGAAAATGTTTTTTGCCAAAGCAAACTAACTGTTAGTTTGAATTACTACTAATTGTCTTGTGTTGTTTTGATGCTGCAGAGTCTAAGCTTTATGGGGCTCATTTTAAGGAGATTGCTGCTAATGCTCCAAAAGCTACAAAAATAACATTTGACAGTTCTGATGATGAAACTTGACTCTAAAGTTGACTCACAAGTTGATTGTCTTGGGCCTGCAGCAAACATGTTTAGTGGATATTGTTTACCAAATTATGGTAAATATATATTTTTTTCCAATGCAGACGAAATCACCCTTTTAAACTTCGTGGGTTAGTATATGCTAACATGACAAGCACAGAGGCAAATGTGATCTTGAATGTCGAGCAAGATGATTGAGGTTATGCTCTATATTTTGTAGCGTTAAATTTTGTATTTGTTCTCTCCCTCACTCTCACACAGATTATCCGACTATGATGGTCACTAAACTTGTGCGAAACCTCATTTTCATTTTACTTTGTATTTTTGATGAAGTCCAAGAATGTGACGTGTGTTGATAAATTATTGAGGTAAAAGGTCAACAGAATGTTTCTTTTTAGTGTAATATATAAGTATTGATTATTTGAAGTTCATGTATTACTACTGGGTGATACCAGCTTGTCAGCCATGATTCATGGTACTGCTTCTGCTTACAACTTGGATAGATTGTACTATGCTAGTGTGTTCTTAATTTACCACTTGATTTTTAATGTTCTGAAACAGTTTGTCTGCAAATTTTTTTAGTTGTACCAGTCTTGATAGTTTGAAATTATATTGAATCTACTGATAAATATTAACCAAATCCAGGTGTACCAAATGTAACTTTCCCCTGTGATCACACTGTGCCAGGGGTTTGTGTGAACTAACAAAATTAGCCGGGGATCCCTAGGCCTCCATTTGAAACCCTAGCTGCCAAATATTGCCATTCCACCACCATTTGAAACCCTAGCCGCTGACCTCACCACCTTTTGGAACCCTAGCTGCCACCTTGAAACCTTAGATTTGGTTGAGAGAGAGTAGGGAGAAAGAGAGATAGGGTGGGTGTAAGAAGGAGAAGAGAAGTTAGGGATGGGATTATGGTTGGAATATTGGGGGATGTATTGCAATAAAATATAAAATTTTAAGTTGTTGTAAAAAGTAGAAGCTTCCCCCTCGCTAGGGTTGCAAAACAAATTGAGATATTTCCAGCCTGACGTTGGTTTAGCTCATTAAAAGTTGGGCAAATTGCACTAACGGTTGTTATAATTTGAGACTTGTGTCACTTTAGTTCTTGACTTTTTAATTGTGACATATTTGACCTTAAATTTTGAATCTTGTTCTAAATAAAGACAATTGAAAATATCATTGTTTAATTTTAAGGGCAAAATTATTAATTTGATAAAATATAAACTAATTTGACAAAAATAAATATCAAAAAAATATTTTTGAATTTTTAAAAATTATTTCTACCTTCTAAAGATAAAATTATATAAAATTGATAAGTCTTTTAGACATTTATTTATTTGTTTTTTGTCAAATTAATTTTTATTATGTATTTGGATGATGATTATGTAATGGGCGGTTGTTTTTATTTTCATTAAATTAGTTTTTATTTTTTTAAAAGTCAAATATAGCGACAACTTTGATGTAATTATTAAACCAATCCATTAAATCAAAAAAATACAAAACTAAAAACATTTCATATGTGAAATATATCGATTACACATTAAAATCCTAGCAATCACCCATTACATGATTATCATGCAAAAACATAATAAAAATTAATTTGGTAAATAAATAAATAAATGTCTAAAACATTTATTAATTTTACACAATTTTATCTTTGATGGGTAGAAATAATTTTTAAAAATTTAAAAATATTTTTTTGACATTTATTTTGTCAAATTAGTGTATATTTTATCAAAATGACGATTTGGCCATTGAAATTAAGTAATAGTATCTTCAATTGTCCTTATTTAGAATAAGATTCAAAATTCAGGATCAAATGTGCCATAATGAAAAAGTTAAGGACCAAAGTGACATGAATCTCAAACTATAGGGATTGTTAGAATAATTAGACCTTAAAAGTTTGTTTGAAATCAATGTAACTTGTTAGGCAAACCAATCAAGGTGTAATATATTTTAGTTTTTGTTAAGTTTTAAGTTAAACTTGAACAAGGTAGTATTCAGCTGAGTATTTATATATGTACTATAAAAAAAATTTAAATTACTCATGTTGGACTTGTAAAAGCTTATTTGAGATTGGTTTATGTAAATATGCATGCTTGAACATTGTTTTGAAACTTGTTAAGTTTTTAAATAAGGAATTGGATTGTCTCCAATCCTCCATCGGATTGGATCGTCTAGTCTGGCCCAGTGGGCCAGTTTTTGGCCCTGTTTCGATGATCTGAACAGTTCATATTTTAGGGTTTGTCAAATACATTATCTCTACAAAAAATTAAATCGATCGAATAATAGAAATCACATGTTTAAATCAATTTTTTATGAACTGTATATTTTCTTATCGTCTATTTTTTTTTTCCATACAAAATTGATTCAAACATGTGATTTCCGTTATCCGATCGATTTGATTTTTTGTAAGGATGATATACTCGATGAACTTTAAAATGTTTCGGATAATCGAAGCGGGACCCAAAAATTGACCCAATGAGTCCAACAATATCTCTTCAGTCCGATGGTGGACTAGAGAGAAGCCACTCTTTAAGTTAAACAACTTATTACTTAGCTCATTTGCAACCACATTTCTCACTCGTTGTGGCAGAATTTTCTGAACCAACTAAACTAGGAAGTTGGTTAGGTAGTGTTCGATAAAAATTTAGGAGTTATTTAGGAAGTGTTAGATTGGTATATTTTTTGATTTTTTCTAAACAAAATATGAAATATGAGTTATGTTTAAAGTGACGTGATAGAAAGATGATGCGACTTAAATAAGATGATTGTGACACAAAGAAGATAATGTGTTAAAATAACATGTGCTATTTTAGTACATGCCAAACAAAGTCTAAGTGTTGAACTAAAATAAATTTAACATGCATGAAATGAAAATTGAAATTTATTATTTTTAAAATTCATCTTTTCATTTTTATATTGTGGTAATTGATGTGGGGGTTGAGGGATAGTGGTTTGTTGTGATGATGTAGTGGTGTATTGGAGGTAAAAGAGTGATGGTGGTGGTAGTCAATGTTTTAAAAACGGGATTGGTGAGCAAATCGGAAAAGGGATCGGATGGATAGGTTATCGGTTCAACTGTCAGGTTGAATTGGAATCGAACCGTGACATCATAAATATATTCAAATTATATTTAAATAAAAATATAAGTAATAAAATTATATATTAAAAATATTAAAAATATTAAATTATCTTAAATATTTCTCCTTATATTTTTTTTTACTAAAAAATATAATAATATATTTTAAATTAGAATTAATTACCTAAAAGTTCAATTTACAAATGTTATGGTAGCTTATGTCGTATTTAAGATTTTTTAAACCAATAAGTCCTATTTAGTAAAACTGAGAATATTATCAGTTTTTTCAAATTTTTAAAACTAAGAATATTATCAAGGGTGATTTACAGGTAAGTCCCGTTTTAGCAAATAATGGTACATTAAGTCCTAGTTCAAAAACTTTTAACCGGTAAGTCCCATAATCCATTGAAATGACGAATAAGGATTAAATTTTATTTTTTGAAAATTTTTCTATTGATCCTTGATTTGCAATCTTTGTCTCCAGTTCCTCGATTTCTTCAACTGTTACACTTGATTGGACATTTGGAGAAGTTTCTGCACTGGATACCTTCTCTCCATGGCCTTGTCGATTTAACTTTAGGGTGGAGCAAGTTAAGGGATGATCCTTTGCAATCCCTACAAGAATTACCCAATTTGGCTAAGCTTATACTTGAACAGGCATACGAAGGGGAGGGACTGTGTTTCAAGGCAGGAGGATTTCAGAGGCTTAAACATTTACATCTTTATAAATTAAAAGGATTGAGATGGGTGAGAGTGGAGGAGGGAGCAATGCCCCACCTTGAAGGTCTAAGTATCAGAAATAGTGAATTGATGGAGGAGGTCCCATCAGGCATCCAACATCTAAAGAACCTCCAAACGTTTGAGCTTTGTGAAATGTCTGAGAAATTGATTTCAAAGTTAGATCGAGAAGTACAAGATGAGGATTACAGAAACATAGCGCACATTCCTGAAGTTATAATTTGGTACCGGGAACATGATCAATGGAAAGTAAGGTTTTTATGAAGAGAGAGGAAGAGAAAGGAGAAGAGCTCTCTCTAGATTGGATCAGTGTCATAGTAAATAACCATTTTTTCCCTCTCTTTTTGCCATTTTTATTACATATTGTAACGATGATTTATTTTCTTCTTGATGTAGATGATAATTGGCAAGAGTAATTGATTGCACTTTATTTTTACTTATTTAGCTTCTATTTGTTTGCTGGGGCGATTCTAAGATTTTTTATTTATTTATTTTTTTTTTCAGGTAGGCATTCAAAAATTTAAATTTTATAAATATACTAATTTAGACTTTTCAAATCACACACAAAAAAAAAAAAAAAATCTAATTAATTGATATAATTATTTCAAAAATTAAAATGTGGATACAAAAACTTTAATATAAATATATTTTGTGTTTATCACTAGTATGATAAAATGAAACATTTTTTTTCTTGTAAAGTCTAATTTCTTCTCTTCAAAAAAAAAAAAAGTTTCTTAGAAGAAGGAATAATATATTAATTTATATAATATTTCACTTAATCATATCTAATTCATAATATAATAGTTTCAGGTCATTGGTTGAGTAAGAAATATAATGATGGTTGAGTAAGAAATATAATATTTCATTTACGAATCTCAAAAGAAGAAGGAATAATAAAGAATCATTCAACCCAGGTCAGCCTAACACTCGTTGGCCTACAATAAAATGTTATTAAGAGACTTTTAATATATAAATATAAATTAAAATAATATTATTTATTTTATTTTATTTTTTTTATAAAATTTTTGTAAGTGTTATAAAACAAAAAGAAATGAAAATTGCTATAAGTTATCCAGTAATTAGAGCATACACATTTAAAATGAAGTCTATGCTAAGGAGAAAAAAAAAATTGAAAACTAAACCTCAACCTATTTTAAATTGGTGGAATTTTTTTTAAATATTAAAATGAGTCTGTTTTATAATTATAGATGAGATATTTTCAAAATAGGTAGAGTTCTATTTTTTTTTTTAATTTAATAAAGTGAACATTTTAAAGTAGAATAGGTACTTTTCATTTGTAAACTAAATCGACAGAAGCATTTTCTAAATCTGTGGATATTATGCTTGTGAGTAGATAATTTATTTTTTGATTGTGTGGAGGCCTTTTTCGAAGTGAGTAATATTATATCTATTTAAACTCTTATTAACAATTTTATTAAAAATATACATGTCTAAATATCATTAGATGTTTAAATATCCTTACTTTTTTAACAATTAATCACATTAGGCCTTTTGTATTTTTAGTAAGATTGTTAAAATGTGTAGAATTATTCTTTTAAAATAGGCATTCTAAAAAATAAAAATGATCTTATTATCGAGTGTTTAATACATT